CTTTAAGCTCTGCCAAAATCCCCAGCACCTCCTGCCTGTGCCTTTTTATAACCAGCTGACTCTCCCACAAACTCCATTTCCCTGCTTGCTTCCCCAAGGCCTCTTGTGACCAACCCACTGGTCCTCCTGCCAGAAGCTCCCTGCTTGCTATCTCTCCTCATGGTATTGCTCCTGCCCAAAGGCAAAGATGATTAGGCAGACCCAGCATCATTTCCCCATTCCCACTTTTCAACCCCTCCATGGCTCTGAAGGGAGAAGAGTAAAGCAAAGTCCAGCACTACCCCCTCCTTCCTCACCTCACATAGGTCCCAAAACTCACAGTGTTCAGTCTTTCTGAGGACGGTGGCATACAGCACAACATAAGAAGCCTACAGCTCCTTATTGGCTCTTGGGAGACCCTCCTTGGGGGAATCTCCATTCAAAAGGGGCTCTATGAAGCCCTAATATGTGTACGGGAAAAACTATAACCTGGGCAGGGGTGGGAGAATGAAGGGCAGGAGAGACCTGTTTTACTGCATTTCCCTACTTGCTGAATTCATCCATTTTCACTTTTAGTCATCACCACACCAGGACCCACCACTCAGCGTGGTATCACTGGAAAGGACTCCTACGTCAAGACCCCAGATCCAGGTAGCCTGGGTGCAGGGAGGGAGAGGGGAGCAGCTGGGTTCTGGCCCACTGATGCCACTGAAACCTGCAGGCATTTTGGAGTGGGAGGAGAGTGAAAATCCACAGAGCTTTATCAGAGTTGGAAGGATTAAACTCCAATGTTTCATCCCACATAGGAAAGGCTAAGGATGAGGTAAAAAGCACGAGCATGTCTCATGCCTGGGCACACTGAGAAGAGGGGGAGGGAGGGCAGAGCCTTAAGGGCTGGGAGTGGTTTTAGCCTCATCAGGGGAAAGAGAAAATTTTTGGCTACATGTCCTCCCTCAAGTCTCTGGAAAATGGTGAGAGTAGCAGCCCAGGGGAAGCCCTCTGCCTCACCACCAGCCTCATGGAACACCAGGCAGGGCCCTTGGCAGCTCCCTTGGCTCCACCAGAACTGGCCCTGACACCAGCCCTGAGCACCTGCTGGACCTTTCCCCTTCTCCATTCCTGCTCAAAGCTTGGACTCAATGATCTTGGAGGTCTTTTACAAACTTAATGTTTCTGTGCTTTTTTGACCTTTACCCTTCTCTATTCCTTCAGAGTCCAGCACAGAGAAGGACCTGAATTCCTTCTGTGATGGTATCATCTGGGTTCCCTCGGCAGGCGCCTGCCTCCTGCTCCTCATTGCCCTGGCCATCACCATCCTGCAGTGCCCAAGTAAGGCTCACCACAATCCCTATAGATTCACCTCCGGCCTCAAACCACAGCCCTGTCCCTCAGAGGGATGGATGTTCTGCCTGCTTTGTGAGGTATCAGATAACCAGGACACAGTCAATGCAAGAGAAGGACTACTGTTAAAATCACTGTCTGTATTTTCCTCATCGGTAGGCTTAGGCTGAAAAATAATTAACAACTTAGAATCATAGAATCAGAAATTTATTTAGGTTGAAAAAGACCTTCAAGGAAGAAAATTGATTAGAAACAGACAGAACTTACTGTATGAACTGTCTTGGCTCTACCATCCTTAAATTGGTGTGTCAGAGATTAATGTACCAGGGCCTGAAACATTCTGACACATCAGGGTAAATATGCTCCAGCATATGCTGAGACTCCCAGAAGCAGCTTGAGCTGTAACTAAAAAAGTAACTTCATTACACAGGTTCAGAGACTGCCACAGTTTAAGCAGGAATGCAGAATCTCTGGGTCAGCAAAAGCCCTTTGGTGAAATTTCGTGTTTGAAATGAAGTTAAGCTACCCTGAGCAAGCAGTGAGTGCAAATGGATTTAACTCAATTTAGCTCACTGAAATCAGTTCAACTCTCCAGTATCCCAGAAGTTATGACTTCATTAATCCAGCTCTGCTCATTTGCCTGAACACCAGCAGTTCTGCTGCTGAATTAACCTAACTAGATCCTCCCTGACCCTGAGGCCTGGAGCTGATGCCAGATGAATTTACCAGCTGACCCAGCTGAAAAAGCACCATTTTTCAGCATCCTTCAGCCCTGAAAAAATACTAATCTCCATACTCTGCAGAGATAGGAAGGAATACATGAAAAAGCATTAAGGAGACACAGCCAAAAATCATTCTCCTTGGGGGAAGTAGCTGATGATGCAGCAGAGTGCCTGGACTTGGTCCAAATTCCCTCTGAAGTTACCAGGAGCCAAGAGCTCTCCACATACTGTGGCATTCCCTGGTGACCTGCAACACTGTTAACCTACAAACACCACTCAGTGATTTACTTCTGCCTTTTAACACTGATGTAAAACGATCAGTGAAAAGCCATCAGCTGCAGTTAATTTCTGCAGCAGCCTAAAACCTCCAGGATAGATTAATACTTGGGCTAAAATTAATGGCAGAACACTGTATTTTGCTGAATACATCCCAAAGTAACAACAGAGATGCTAAAATGGGGAAGAGCATCGTTCAACTTGGTTGCATGTGGAGTGCCACTCACCTCTTGTAGAAACAATTCCTGCTAAGGGATTTTCAGCAACATGCCAAAGTCAACAGAAATAATTCACCCTCTGGATTCCCAGGCTGACCCTACTACTGCTACTCACCTCACATTTTAATTCATCAAAATGTTTAAGTGGAATATTGAGGTAACAGGAGCTGCAGCACCACTCCCTGGCAGGGATTTGCTTAAAAATAAACTTGGTTTATCCGTGGTTAATTTTAAAGGTATCAGCTGCTGGGGAACACCAGACCCACCTTGCTGCAGTGTTTCTTTACTGAGCTGTGACTTGGTAGCTTTGAACTAAAACATTTTCTTTCTTATTTTAGAAACCAGAAGACGAAGGTGGAGGCGTAAAAGGTTAGTAAGTGACAGGCATTGGCAATTTTCCCTTAAACTTGGCACCCTCAGGCAACAAAGCAGGAAGGTGCCCAAAAGCAACCTAAAAATTCTTCATCCGATAGCCGTTGGATGGGAGGGGACTGTGAAATGACTTAAGGGCAAAAACGAGACAGAAGATTCTCTTGTTCTGTGTTTTTGGATTTGTTTGCAGTTTTTGTTTGGGGTTTTTTTGTGATTAAGTAGTTCAAATCACTTGGCCCTGACACACCAGTAGATATAAAACATAAAGACAGGTGGTGCTTGTGGCAGACCAAAAAAATCACCACGGCTTCAGGCCTCCATTTCCCCTGCAGGCATTAAGGAACAGCAGCAGGGAGGCTGCTGCAAACTTGGATGACTTTCCTGAGAAACAGCACTCCAGACAGGAATAGATTTAGAGGCAACCCAGTTTCTAGGGCACATGGAGATCTTTCTTTTATGTTTTCCCTCCTGCCACCCCAACCCGCCCATCATCCTGAATCACAAGGAAAACACCATCACAAGGAGAATTGCAATTTGCCAGTTTGGAAAAAGAAATGCTTTTGCCCATGTGCATTATCCTTCTGCAAAAAGACCTCCCTGCAGCCAGTTTCTTCACCTCCCCTGCTCTGCAGGAAACCACTTCTGCAGTTTTGCAAGCCTTGGGCACCCTGGGGCTTGTGGCCAGAGACCCACCAAGAAATCCCCACTACTGCTCCAGGCAGCCAGTGCTGGGCTAGTGCTTGGAAAAGCTGGGTTGCCAAGAAAGTTTGGGACAGCATGTTCACAGCTCTGGAGCCTCATTCTTTGCAAATCAGAGCATCTTTTAAATCAGATAAATTCATGTTCTTTGTTATACAGCCATGGGGCTTATAGTAAGAAAGGTAATTGTCTTTCAGTTGTCTAAATTAATACAATCACTCAGAGAAAGACCACCCTCCCCTACTATAGTAGATCCCTACAATTGTTTGTGTTTTTTTTTAAAGACAGAATGCATTTTTTTTACCCATCTGAAAAAGGGAACAGTCTGTCAGTTTTACAATGGATATTTATTACACCCAGGACTCTTCTGATCCTTGTCTGCCTTTCCAAGGGAGAAATGATAATGAAAAGCTGTCCATGCTGCCTTGTTTAGGATGATGTTTGCATTCTTCACTTATTTCAACCCCTGTTGCCAGCCCTGGACAGGGATGTTCTGTCCCTACAGAGAAAAAATATCTGCCCAGCTCTTCAGTTCTGCACCAATGGAGCAGTTGGGTTACAAGGACCTCAGGAAATCAAGGACACCTTTCCTTCAGCTGCACTAACATGACATGGTTTAAGAAATTGTAGCATATTTCAGTTTTTATTTAGAGAGGAAATTTCTGCTGCTCTGAGCAACTCCCAATTATTGAAATGAAGCTCTTTAGAAGTTAATAGTGCAATTCACTGCATGAAAGAGCACCTAAGGATCTGGCCTGGGATTCTTGCTGGCAGCAGAATGATTCATTTTCCACCACAAATTAATCTTCAGTAAAGAAGGGTGCCAAATCTCCAATTTGTTAGATCAGCATAAAACTCTTAGGTCCTGGAGACCAGCAATTTCTATCATTTTGGGTGCACTCTGCCTGTCTAGAAAGCCTCCTTTCAAACTCCTCTGCAGTAAACAGGTTGCAATAAGAAAAATTCTCTAGGAATTGATAACAGCTTGTCCAATCAAAAAAAAACCCCAAGGTCTTCTTTATTCATTCATTTCTGAATGTGGAGAAAGGCTTGGTGAGAGGACAGGAGTGAGCAGAAGTCAGAGGTAAATTAAACTCGCACTCTTTTTTTAAATTAGAGTAAGAATTGATCATCAGTGTATCTTAAGAACATCCTTCTGCTGGCTGTCACTACCTGAAATGTAGGCAGATCCTTCACTAGGATCATCAAAGATGATTTCAGAACATTTTGCAGCTTGGTCTTGCAGGTCCCTGGCTGCAGACCAAGGCTAAACAAGATCATCAGCTCATCACACAATTAATTGCCTTTCTCTTCCTTTCCCATCAAAGGAAATCAAACCCTTTTCTCTCACCAGGCCTGTGCAGGGGAAGCCCCACACCAAACCCAGCACAACACACTGACACCTCGCAGCATCCACACCTTTGGGCTTCTGGATCGTCCCCCGGGTGCTGTCAGCACACAAACCCATCTCCTACGTTCTCTACACTGTGACTGCACCTCATGCACTCTGCCCTGGCAAACTGGAAAAGACAAGATGGAGCACAGACACCCAGACAACCAGCAGCACTGTTTCTGGGAACTGCACCCTAAAGCACAGCTCCTTCCAAAACTGGAGCTTTTCAAATCGATTCCCAAGGCCAAACGCCCTCTCTGTTCCCAGTGACAGGGTTCAGGCAAAGGAACCAGGTCAATCCTGATGCTGACAGGCATCAGTGACAAGCAGATGAGGAATAAGGAATAAATCTCTACTCAAGGGCGTGTGCTACTTCTTTCTAAAATGCAGCCAGGCTTTGAATTCACTACAAAGTGACTTGGAAATAAATGCTCTCACTTAACACATCCTCTGTCTGTGGTTGCCATCTCTCTCCTAGGATTTTTACTGTTTCATCTAATCTATTACAAGGCTGCACTGAGAAAGTAAATATGGATTAAAGGGCCTTACTTCTTGTGTTTTTACAGTTCTGTGGGTAATGTTTTGTTTCCCTCATGCTATTCCTCTTCTGCTGTTACCCCCAATTCCACCGATTTCAGCAGGAGTTTGGCCCGAGCAAGGAAGGTGGGATTTGTTTGTTTCTGAAAGAAACAGATGAGAGGTAACAAAAATAGTCTCTGTCAATTGTTTTGGTTAACAATAATGGGACTTTTAACATGTTGATTATTTAGGGACATGTTGATTGACTGCAGTAAATTCTGTTTATTCAGATATGCAAGCTCCAGGAAGCATCACCCATCCCCATGTGCAAATGGTCACTCAGAGGCAGCCCCAGGGCCCTCTCTGGTGAAGCAGACAAGGGGTTTTTGGGCAGGGCGGAAGCTCCTGTGGTTAGAGAAGAGAACCACGAGTCGCTAAAAAAAAAAGAAAAAGAAAAGCCCTTGGGCACTGGGCGCTCTGGTGGGTTTCTGCTCACAGACCACCTGCCTTGCACTTTCCCTGAGTAAATGCAAAGAAGAATTGACCATAGAGAAATTGCAGAGAGAACAATCGAGCACCTGAAGAACCTGGCTGTGTGCCAGCAAAGCCTGTGCTTGAAGATAAATGATACACATGGATCTATGCCATGAAACATCTGTGTCTCACTTGCTGGGTAAGACAATACTCTGGGCTTTGCATTCCACATGAGACCCCTTGAGTGTGGTCAAGAGAAGGATGAAGAATCCCTTCTGGGAAATGCAAACTGGGACCTTCACCCAAAGCACGAGGCTTGTCTGTGACTTCTGTGGAGCTGCTGTGGACCCACAGAGGGCTGGGGGACAGCAGGCTGGGGCGCCTGATCCTACCTCAGGCATGAGCAGCAGCACTCTGGATCTCTAGGGAAGTCATCAAGGCAAACTCTGTGAGACACCATTAAGAATTGATAAGGATAAATGAGCCCAAATTCTGGACTAAAATGGAATTTTTTCAGAAATTTTCTTTTCCCCTGCATTTTGCAACAGATGCCGAGCATCACCTCTTTACCCAAGAGGGTCCTGATGACATCACATCCTCCCCAAAGTGTGACCCAGCCTCCCAAGTCAAGTGACAAAGATCATCTCAGCTGCACTGCGCCGTCTCCAAGGACAGACACCCCCAGCAGAAGATGGACGGGTCTCCTGCCCTGCTCCTCCTGCTCGCTCTGGGACTCTGTGAGTATGGACACAGGGTGGTGCAGCTCCTTCACTGGGAGAAGCAAGGAAAAATCCTTCCACTGAATCCAAGGAATTGGGA